CTCATAAAACCATTCCTGTATTGGATATTGCGCTATTTGAAATAGCAAGTTCAATCTCAGTTCTTATTATAATAAACATACTTCGAAAAGACTATAGTACGATCGTATGTTCCTCTGAATAGTACTCCGAATACACTTTGAAAAGACTGTCTCGTAATTCACATAGTACATACTTATTATACATAATCAGAAAAGGACGAACAATAGAGTGTGCGATCCTGTCGGACCCCTACATCCAAACAAGGAAAAGGAAAGCAAAACAGAATTCACATATTCAACCGTCTATCAGTTTCTCATTGTACATAACTTCTGGGTATATACTAGGCAATCACAAACACTACTACCTGTGTGCGTTTTATGTTAGGGTGTTAGTGCTATGCGCGCGTACCCACCTGTGTTTGGTGTCGTGGTACAATGCCCGCATACCCATGTTAACTGAAGGAATGGTACCGTGCCAGGGTACCCCTTTTATATGTGTGGTACATTGGAAGATGTACCTTTTTGAGTTCCTTAATTTTAGTTCGTATTAGTGTTCGTATGTTCTGAATAGATAACTAACAAGTATTATATTTCTATGTACAGCTATGACCTTTATGAACTAACAAGTAAAATGTATTGAACTACCAAGTAATGAACATTGACTCTCTAACTATACCCCTTATACTTACTAGTAAGTGCTTTGTATCTAACTGACTGGACTGAACTGAAAGAATACCATTGCTACCCAAGCTATTAAACTGACTTCTTGAACTTTTATATCTACATACATATACATGATATACTAGTAATATTTAAACGACATTCGGACAAACAACCTTACTCTAAACCCACATCCAAACAAGGAAAAGGGATTAGGGCTGGTAGTCAGTCCTAAGTCCTTTAAACACTACTTGTATAACTATCTCTACATAGACATCAATTATACAAAACATAAGTTAAAAGATTTAATAAAACATTTTAAAAGCATTTCTAATATTTAAAAGAGTCTATTTATATTTAAAAACATTTTGACGAATTGATGTCATTTACAACATTTGAAGAATTTTATATATTATAAACACAATCTCTTGTGTTTAGACTTGTATCCCCCCCCTCTTAAAACAGTGAAAACGTGACAAAATGTAGGGGTATGAACTCAGCTGATGTGAGTGGTTCCAAGGAAAGTGCTCGGTAGGATGCTAAGTGTCAAGTGGAGACTTGAACACAACACACGGATCCTATATAACATATATTGATATACGTATGCATACAATTAGTGTTTAAACAACTAATTAAGCAAGTAAAACACCCTAGGATTTGGAAAACAGTCTATTGGACCAAGGGGTATTGGCATGAAGCGTTGAATCACATGTGATTCAACAAAGGCAAGAGAAATCACCATGAATGGTGTTTATGGCCATGGGTTTACGGCCAAGGGAGTTTACGGCCGTAAACTCGTGGTCAAATGTACAAAATTGTGTGTTTTAAGATCCTACAATATCCAATGAGGGTTCAAGGTCTGGGGCTTGATCATTACAAGAGCTTAAGGTGTAATTGATCAACAACATTGAGTTTACGGCCAAGGGAGATCTTTGGTCGTAAACTCAAGATCTCCATGTGTTCTTGGTGATTTCAAGGTCTCTAAGCATGAGTACTAACTAGATATGAAGCATAGGGAAAAGTACTTACGATCTAGAAGCTTGAAATGGCCGTTTTGGCCAAGAACACTAGTGTGTGTTCTTGGTGTTTCTTGAAGATCTAAACAAACATGATTTTCATGGATGAAATCATGAGATGATGCAAGTTTAAGAAATGTAACAACAAATTAATGGATGAATACTTACAACTTTCAATGATCTAGGATGAAAGGTGTGATGATAGTTGAGAGAGTTTGAAGGAAAATCAGCCAAGAAATGAAAGGAATGAAGAAAATTGAAGGATATGAACTTATATGGGGGAGTTCACAACCAAGGTTGAGTTTATGGCTGTAAACTCTCTGTTTACGGTCGTAAACTCCATATGATGGAGTTTAGGACTTGCATCTTGCACTGTGGTTTTTAGTAGATCAATCCCAACACTTTTTCCTTAAGTGTACTAGGCTAAAACTCCTTAGAATGACCTTTAGCACGGCTAGAACTCATTAGAAATGAGTCTGAGTTGATTGACTGGGCTTTTAAAAGTAAAAAAATTTTGGGTTGTCACAGATGGGCCTGACCTGGTTGCACTGTATCCACCTATGTTTTTCCGCATCACTTGATTTTGGGATTGTGTACACTAATAATATTTTATTATGATATACTCTTGATTGTTTTGATCTGATTATCATATGATCAGAATGAAGTTAAAAATAAAAATTTTATCTGAATTTTTGGGACGTTAGAATGTGAAGATGTGGTAATAGAGGAAGGACTGTTACATAAGTGTTGGTGATGATGTCATTGCTATCAAAAGTGGATGGGATCAATACGGTGTTGCTTTGGCCGCCCTTTAAAGACATCCTCATTCAAAACCATGTTTTTAGACTTTTGGTGGTGTCATTCAAGTTTCAGGGCCTTTCTGTTGATTCTTTATTTGTATGGTAGAAATAGGTTAATATAGAAGAAGGTTTTGTAACTTGATGATGTTCTTTCATTGGTTTTTATTTGCAATATGCATGTTTATATAAAATAATGTTATTCAAAAATGCTAAAAGAAAGGCCTCTTTTTCCTATTATCCTATTCAAAACATAGGTTCTTTATGTGTGTATGTGTCATGGTCTTCTTTTGCTTCATTCACCGAGGATTTGAAACTATGTATACACGATTTTCTATATCGACTTCTCAACACTATCTTAAGTGGAGAAACAAAGCACTTATGCAAAACTTGAAACATTTATAAGTAATAGATGAAATGTGCAACAGTCTGTAGAGGTTAAAAAACAAACAAACTTTTTATTAAAGGTTGCAGCTGTTTAGTCCACCTCGTTGTAGAGGGTTGCAGAATTGGTCCGTAAACTTCATGCATTTTCGCTTCGAAAAAACAAACAACACCTTTGAAAATTGAGAAAACATAATAAGAGAATAAGATGCTATGTTTTTTCGTTAGTACCAAAATTTTGACAAAAAATGGTTAAATATGTCTCTTGGCTAAAACCTATCACAATACATTTTTTTGTTCCAAAATTGACTCCAACTGTTAAAACTATGACAAAAGAGGCGTTTTAATAAAGATAAAAACAAGGTCAAAAAACTCAGGTCCATATTAAATAGATCGAATTTATGATGTAACCACTGAATAATAGCTTTAACCGAGGGGTAAAACACCGGACTACAAAATCAATATGAGTTGTTCCGACGAGGTCCGTTCTTCGCAGCTCATCGGAGATGAACAGTACCATTCGCAGTTAAGAAGTCGTTTTCACAAATCGGAAGCAAACTGCGAAACCAATGTGGATTTTTCCGATGAGTTCCGATCTCCGCAGCTCATCGGAAGTGAACAGTATCACTTGCAGTTAAGATGTTATTTTCACGTATCGAAATCCATTTCTGGTTCCAAAATATCGTTCACAATTTGGAAGCTATTTTCAATTCCGAAATCATTTTCAGTTCCGAATTCATCCTTACTTTGAATCTTGTATAAACTTAAACAAGTGTGCACGCCACCTCTTCCATACTTGTTTAATGTTCATCAAGATTGATTTGGGTTAACAAGTTAATCTATTACACTTAAATATAATTAATGAAAACAATTCACCTACATCATCTTGCACTCTTACCAAAATCTGATCACTAAACCGAAGTTCTCTTGACTCATATGTTGGATTTGGTCTTGGAGGAGGTCAATAGGGGCTTCCAAGAATATCAACAAGAAAAATAAGCTACTATTTTCTTTGGTTTATGCATGTTGTTCGTTTAGATAACTAGAAACTCGGTTATTTTTGTAACGGATAATTAAGGTTGCATAAGAGATTCAAATCCAACTATTTAGTTAAAGAAATCGGAAGCAAACAGAAAGGAATATGAAGAAATGGATGTTATCTGCGTGCGTTTTTTTTTTATCTGTTATGACCAATAGCGGCGACACCTTTAGCGGCGACGCTTGGGGCAATACCGGCGACAATCAGTAATAGCGGCGACAAATGGGAGGGAAGGGTACCGCGTCATTTTTAGCAGACTATTAGCGGCGACATTTTTTAACCTTTAGCGGCGACATCTGTGTCGCCGGTATTAGGTTACACCGGATAAGGCACCCCACCCGTTGGATTGGATATATCATCGAACGGTTGGGATGCAATAGAGGGGGAAAGTGCGGATTCGGGTGACAAACCTTTAGCGGGGGCTTTACCGGCGACTCAAGCTAGAGTCGCCGGTAAAGACCCTTGTCGCCGCTAAAGGGTATATTTCTTGTAGTGGTTGGATTAAGTATCTTGCTAAATTTTGTAGCCTTAATTGACATTATTGGTGCAGTCCTCCTTTTACTGCTTGTAAGTTGTAATTTCCTAGTCTAGGTCCCTGCTATGGTTAATAAAATCTTCCATAGTTGTAAAATGAATCCTTTAAATACTAAATGAAGAAATATTTTGTTCACAAAAAAACAATTTCATGAGCTCTTTACGAGTTTAATTCTTGACCTAAAAGTAAATTCATAAATTTCAAACTCTGTAACTCCATCTTTATAATAATTCAGTGAATGAAATGATGTTGATTTCTAACAGCCAAAATAACATATTAGCCATTAATTTTATTTCATTGGTAATTTTAGTCTTTGTATTTTCTTTTTCTTACTTTCCTATCTCCCGTGTTCAAACATTAAATATACATATCGAATCTATAATTCAACAACAAAAACGCTTACACATGTATTTGACTTTTACAACATTTGCATTAGTTGTATAGATCGTGCAGGAATTTTAAGGAAAAAAATAACCTTAACACCGTATATCCAAAAACATCCCTCGTGGCCATCGCATCATGGAATAGAATCCTTTGTATATCGAAGAAGCAAACGAGTTTCCTCTTTCACCTTATAAATTACAAGCACACAACCCCTCATTTTCACCATCCAGATCCAACTTCTCTCTCCTATCTCTGTGTAAAAATGGCGAAATTTGTCTCCATTCTGCTTGTTTTCTCCTTAGCTTACACTTCTGTTGTTTCTGCTGCTTCTCCTCCAACTCCAACGGAAGGTATGTTACAATTTTATAAACACACAGTAGCATCATTACACAAATAAACAACCATTGACGCCATTAATGGTTGTCTTTATGCAGGTCTCTTACCAAACGGAGACTTTGAACAACCACCGAAGGCAAGCAACATTAGAAAAAAAGTCCTGATTGGCAAAAACGCTTTACCAAAATGGGAGATTAGCGGTATTGTGGAATACACACAGGGCGGACCTCAGCCTGACGGTATGTACATCCCCGTCGCACACGGCGTCCACGCCGTCATACTCGGGAACGAAGCAAAAATCTCCCAAACGATACCCGTGAAAGCTGGATCTTTGTACGCTATAACCTTCGGAGCTTCAAGAACATGTGCGCAGCAGCAGATGTTAAGAGTGTCTGTGCCACCACACTCCGGGGATCTTCCGCTCAAGACTTTGTACTGTGCTGACGGTGGCGATGTGTATGCGTATGGTTTCAGGGCTAATTCAAGCAGCGTGAGGTTAACCTTCCACAACCCTGGTGTAGAAGAAGATCCCAAATGTGGCCCAATCATTGATGCAGTCGCCATTAAGGAACTCCACCCTCCTAGACTTACTTCACGTAAGTAACTCTCACTCTCAGAAACTTTAAACCAGATCAAAAGTTATCAATTATCATTCCTATGATCAATTCATGAATATTTTTTTGTTGCAGATAACTTGGTGAAAAATGGTGGATTCGAGGAAGGTCCACGTCTATTAGTAAACTCCTCCAATGGCGTCCTTCTCCCTCCTCAACAACAAGACCACACATCTCCTCTCCCCGGGTGGATCATCGAGTCTCTTAAAGCTGTTAAATTCATCGACTCCAAGCATTACAACGTCCCACATGGCGACTCAGCCGTTGAGCTGTTGGCTGGGAGAGAAAGCGCCGTCACACAAATCCTCAGAACAGTACCTAACAAATTCTACACCCTTTCATTCGCCATTGGAGATTCCAAGGACTGGTGTCTTGGAGACATGATTGTTGAAGCATTTGCTGCGAAAGAGAAGCTGAAAGTACCATTTAAATCGGAAGGGAAGGGAGAGTGGAAGATGGTTAGCATGAAGTTTAAGGCGACATCTTCAAGAACCCGAGTGAGCTTTCACAGCTCATATTACCACACTAGGGCTGACGACACTGTGTCCCTTTGTGGTCCAGTGATTGATGAAGTTCGGGTGTTGTCGGTTCGCGCCTAGAGGTAAATTTGGTCTGTTTTAGTTCGGTGTTTGTAAATCAGACATTCCATGATATTGGGTGACATTGATTGAAATGCATCATGTGACCACAATATTGTCAACTGTAATTTGGTTAAATAAAAAAAGATGAATTGCAAAGGAAGTCTAAAAGCTGGCTGCATGCACTTGTATTTCTTTTCTATTGAGTTGTAATAAACTTGAATTCTTTTATTAGAGTTATGTTTAATTAAAAAATGAAAACCGTATTTACCAAAAGATGTATAGTTGAAATAATATTCAGTAATACGTTAATATGGAAAAGATCCATATCAGTTAATCGAGTCAAATTCTTGTACAGTCAGTTTTTAACAACACTTGAAGATGACTCGCGTATGGGAGCTTTTACCTTTATACATCTCATGTAGTAAATGTTCTAATTAATTGATTAATCATGTCGAATAAAAAAATATTTAGTCAACTCATGAAGCATCTGTTGCGCTTTAAAAAACTTCCCTTTCCAGTCGGAACATGCAGGGGCTCAACGTTTTCTTCCAAACCTTCCGCAATGTTCTCTTTGTTATGGTTAATGATTCTTCATTAAATCAAAAACATACAATTACAAAAATATATACAAGGATATAAACTAAAATAACCACTTTTTTTTATATTGCAACTCACAGCTCATACAAAATGGCATTTCTGAAAATTCTGAAAGAACAGATGCAACTTAACCTTTAAAGATTTTTCTTAAGAGATACATGGATTCCACGAGCCAAATTAAATTTACATGTTTATCTACTTAGATATTATGTCGTTATTTATAAAGTAGATGTATGGAATGTGAAGAACATATCTAGATACGAAGAAAATATATGGAACATATCTTCTATGCAGGCCTAGATTCTATTTTTACAGTAATTTTTTTATAGACTAGTTACTATATGTATATGTATATGGTCTTGTTTTGGTCAAAAATCAATTTAATAACCTTATAACTAAATTAGTAAGTGTGTGCTGTTTTATATGAAGATTTTAAGAAAACAAATATGTTAAAGTGCCGAAGATCTTGAATATGGTCAAGATCTTGAGGATAAAAATATTGATATTTGTTATAAAGACTTCAAACGAAAAGAATGATCGGAATCGTGATTAAATCTAAGATGTAGATAAATATATGTTTAGAAAATAGGACGAAAATAGTGTTAATTCTGTAAATACGTTGAAGATAGCAATAAGTCTTAAGATGTTCAATATGTTGAATATTCAACAAAGATATTAAAATGTTTTTAGTATATGTATAATGTATCAAAAAATACGTATAAATGTAAGTATTTTAAAAACATGTATTGAAAGTTGAAGATAAGGACATATAAATGTAGACATCAATGCGAGAACATGAGATATACAAGGAAAATCCGTAATCATTTAGGATCTCCGTCATAAAACCCCGGGTGGTGACTAATGGCACTCTACCTCGGAACCTTTATTAGAAATTAATAGGAGAACCGCAAGTGCAAATTGATAATGATTAGTATGAGCAAAGGCTAAGAAGAGTAATTAAGTGAGTGTATATTTGTGTAGGTGTACATGTGCGTTTAGTCTATTCTAAAATTTGGGATCTTCCTCTATTCTTGCTTGGCCATGTGTTTCGGGAAGACTCAAAGTATATTCTTGTTGACCACGTGTATGATTGGCTTAGTCTTCATTTGAATAGATATATTTATAATCATGCATAAAGAAATACAAAAGATGTGATGGTATTTCCAAAAAAAAACTGGCTGGATCAGGATTTTGAGTCATTCAAGATGTTAGTATATATTCGTGCAAGATTCTAGATATAATAAACTTAAGGTAAAAATATCACCCAATATAATCAATCCTAGAAATTACCGTCTCAAGATCTTGAGAAATAGGGATTTTTAGAGCCAAAATCATATTGTTAGGTGGTGATGGAACATGGTACTCATATCCAAGATAAGTCTCATATGTCCATATTCCTAGGACATTCAAATATTCCACGGCCTAGATTTTGGCTTGCAATCTTCTTATAAATGCAAAAACTTGTTTATTCTTACCATATGTACTCATCGTCTTGAAGATTCTTCGATTTTATGTAAATAATTCTTTCTTTTTCTCATATTGTTTAACTTCCTTTTTGTTCAATATCATGGGTAAGAATCTTACTAGGTCTGTAGTTAGGATTGAAGTACCAATCTTTGAGTATTTTATTAAATTGGGAATACTACCCAGGTTGAGAGCCATTATGTTCTTATTCAAATGTTGAGATCGAATCACTTCAATCATTAGGGTAGTATCCCAATGGTACTGTTTTTAGGGTTTTTGCTACAAGGCTAAGCCTTGATTTTCTTTCTTCGACATGGGTCTATTTTTACGAGTTTTGATTCTCAATCAGGCTTTCGTTGTCTTTTCCTTTAATGTTGAGGCTTTTCTATCTACCGGTCCCTGTGTGAAAATCTAAAAGATACTTGTTATAGGAATAAGAAATGTAGAGGGCAAGGATACAAGTCCTGATCCCAAGAAGAGGAAGATCACTATGGAACTTGGCCAAGAACTTGAGGGTTTAGCACCATTTGAGATCAAACATAAAATCATTACATTTACCCAAACTGTAAATTAAATCTTATTATATCACTTTTTCATTATCATTGCTAAAAGTATTTTTTTTTCTTTTAAGATACTACTCTGATGTTAAGGGTACTAAGGAGATCAAGCGTGATCTTGAGGCCTTGAAGAGACAGATGAAGATCAGGTTGTCTATAAAGAAAAGGAATGGAACAAAAAAGAGAAAGATATAGGGCTTAAGTTTTAGGATCTTACAACCAATAAGAAAGAGGTGTTCAAGAGGTGTGTTGAACTTAAGCAGAGGATTGAGGAGATAACTAAAGGCGAAGGGTTTTACTGTGCAGTTTGTGTCTGAGGAAACATTTAAGATGGTGGATGATCTCAAGAAAAGTAATGAATCTTCTTGGAATAAAATGGTGTATGATGAATCTGGTATCTCAATAGAGGTTGTATTGACTTATAAGGTAAGACTCGTTCGTCTAAAGCCCAGCCGAACCTGAGAAAATAGAAAAACGTCAGACGTTCTTCGGGTCTCGGACCTGGGAGAATCTCCGATTCTTAATTTAGATGCACGATATGGGTGATCATTATCGAATTATCAATGAGATGTGGTTTCCTAGAGCATACATGTTTGTTGTCAAGCTAGTCTGATTTTACACTACCTTTGCATAGGAAAGTGGAGATGAGAATGAGCCGAACATGTCCCCATTTCATCTTCATTAATGCACCAGTGCTGAAGGTACAAAAACAATACTTATGAAATGTCGAAATTCTTGTCATTCTCGTTATCTAAGTTGTATCGAACCATTGGTCAATGAAAGGTTGTTTGTGCATAGTTCCCCACGACTCATTCACTTGACACTTGTGAATATTAGTTCACAATGTTTCTCGCAAGTCAAGTAGGTCGGCATCATCTTGCATTGTTCATCATTCCACGATACACTCAGTCGGACGTTGTATTAGTGGTCCGGGTTCGGCTTGACCAAACTGTTGGATTAGTGTCTAAGTCCATAACTATTTTGGTATGTACTTGACCTGATGGTGCATGGTCCTTTTGGGTTGCCTTCACCAAAGCAACTTGATAGGATGAATTATGGAGAGAAAGGATTAAATATGATTTATTAATATATTATGGGAATAATATATTAAAGGAGAAATCATATTGTTTAATTAATATTAGTCAATAATTAATTGGTAATTAGTTTTGTGACTAAAAGAGATTAATTAAACTTGAGGGACTGAAATTGTAATTATAAGATAATTGCAATTTGGGCCATGGATTGCCTTATATTATAAGGTGGACGAATTCTAATGGGGAAGCCCATATGAAATCGTCCAAGGCCTTAAGTAAAAGGCTCCATGGGTTGCTTAGGGCTTAAGCAACCAAATTAGGGTTTCCTTGTTAGATAACCCTAATTGCCTCACTATATATAGACCCCTTAAGGATCACAAACGTGGATAAGCTTCTTGCTAGGGTTTCACACGAGTTTTGGTAGCCTCCATCCTCTCTCCTCTTCATCCTCTTGCTTATGGTGTTTGTGAACCATTAGAGGAGTGACACTTGTGACTCTAAGCCTTCCAAAGTCAATTCAAGGAGGAATTGGGATTGTTATTACTACATAACAATCAAGGTAATATCTTAAACCTAATTATATGATAATATTGATTTCCATATGCTAGAATTAGGGTTTATAGTCTTGGATTCAAAGCATGTACAAGAGAGAAACCTAGATCCAAGCATTAGGGTTTGTATAAGCACATAGGATGTCTTATGACCAAAACCCATAAGTGGTATCAGAGCCTAGACTGGTTTCTATTGTATTGATGCTTAACATGTTTGAAAAATTCGATTTTTTGGATTCTAGAGGCTGGACTCGCCGAGTCCATAGCTGAATTCGCCGAGTCCAAGGTGACTCGACGAGTCCAGGCTTGACTCGACGAGTCAACTCGTCAGATAGAGCTTATCTCAGGATTTCTTGCTGTTTTTGCATTAGGATAGTTACCTTATCATGTTAGATCAATATTAATCCGGTTATATGATATATTTGACTATATTTTTGATCTAATTGAAGATATTTATCAATTAATAAGATAATTGTTTCCTTATAAGATAATTGATTAATTATTTTGACTAAATTGATAAATTGTTTTGCAAGAAATCATTAAATAAATCAAATATGGATAATTATGTAATTAAATGTTAGTTTAGATTATTTGTTATTTGACCCTTGTTGTTATGAAAAGTTTCATATTTTGCCCTTTAGGTTTTATAGTTTAAATTTGAACCCAATAGTTTTGTAGTTTTGAAATTTAAATAGTTGAAACCCTAATGTTTTGAAAAAGGTTTCAAAACTTGCCCTCAAGTTTTGGAATTTAAATTTTGATTAAATAGTTTAATTTTGATGTATATTTAAATTCTAAACCCTAATGTGTTGAAATGTTTCAAAACTTGCCCTCAAGTTTTGGAATTTAAAAGTTGATTAAAAGTTTAATTAGGAATGTTAAATTCTAAAACTCTAGTATTGTTTTGAAAAAGTTCAAATCACACCCTTATGGTTTTATTAATTAATTAAGGTGTATAATTAAAAGAAGTTTAAT